TACCCTTATCTTGGGAAAGTCAAGCCCCTGAATGATGGTGGAATAGGAGAAGGTAGGCCTTGAACGTGCTGGTACAATGAGCTGTTGGGTGTTTCTGGAGGTGGGAATGAGATGGGTGTCTGGATCAGTGGTGCTGTGACTGCTGGTGGGAGTGTTGGCATTAAGTTTGCATGTAACTGAGGTGTGACTGGCCCTGTCTAAAAGGTTGCATGCCTCGGTCTGACAGCAGAACCACAGGTATGGGGGCCAGCTCTCTAAAGTTGATAATGTTTCCTCACCCCACAGTGGAAGTGAGACAATCTGGGGAGGGGATCAACATAAGCCCACACCGGGTACTGGGGAAGAAAAAACCTAGAGGCTCAATGGAACTGCCCTTACTTTTCCCACAGTGCGTTCCGGACAGGCTTCCAGGAAACGATCTGTACTATGCTACTACAGAAATGTCTCCCATCTGCTTTAAACTTGCATAATTATTCCTGCCCCTGTTTTTTTGGTGCTTGATCCCATGACCTAGGCAAGTACCCTTAATTTTGAAGTAAATTGATAGCCTCCCACAGAACATTTTAGTGAGAACCTCAGTTGTAGTTAGATCTCTCCCTACCATTGATGCTCAGCTCATAGGTAGAATACTATGTAAGTAACAGGTTTGCTATTTAATTGTACAGGTCTGGGAATATAGCTCAGAGTTCAAGGCCATCCAGGGCTACATAGTAAGAAACACAATGTCTCAAAAAAAAAAAAAAAAAGGATCTAGCCAGGAGGTCATAGCAAGACCCTGTCCTGAAAGATGCTGGGTCTGAGTGAAGATGTAGGTTGCATCTTGGAGCTGACAGCATAACCATCCCATTGTTACTTGCTACATGCACTCTTGAATTCCAGGCCACCCTGTTTACATAGACTGTCCTTATAAAGGAAAAATGGGGCTGGAGAAATAGTTCAGTGGTTAGAGCACATGCAGTCAGTCAGCCATGATGACCAGGTTTTACATCCTGGGCATCAAGATCATGGGCGTGTAATTTCAGACATGTGTATTGCAAGTATGATGCCCAAGGGCTAGGGATTAGTTCAAAGGTAGAGAACTTGCCTGGCATGTGAGAGGTCCTGGGTTCAAGTTCCAACATTGAAATAAACAGGATAACTTAATCCTGAATAGAAGTCAGGTTCCAACTCCCACTTTGACTACTTGCTTGATCCCTTTTTTTTTTTTCTTCAAGATCCATTCATTTAATTTTTTTTGTTTTTCCAGACAGGGTTTCTCTGTGTAGCTTTGGAGCTTGTCTTGGATCTTGCTCTGTAGACCAGGCTGGCCTCAAACTCACAGAGATCCACCTGGCTCTGCCTCCCCAGTGCTGGGGATTAAAGGTGTGCACCGCCTGGCTCATGCTTTTAATTTTTAAAAGTCCCCAGAAGAAATCATTTTTTAAAATGTATATTAGTGTTTTCCCTCGATGAATGTCTGTGTGAGGGTGTCAGATCCCCTGGAACTAGAGTTGCCATGTGGGTAGTGCTGGATCCTCTGGAAGGGCAGCCAGTGCTCTTAACGACTGAGCTATCTCTCTAGCTCTTTGTTCATTTTATTTTGTGGGAATTTTGCTGGCATGTATTTTTATATACCATGTGCGCAGAGATCAGAAGAGGGCATGGGATCCCCTGGAATTGGAGTTACAGATGGTTATGAACTACCATGTGGGTGCTGGGAATTCTGTCCAGGTTCTCTTCAAAGCAACAATTTTTTTTTTCTTGGTTTTTTGAGGCAGGGTTTCGCTGTGTAGTTTTGGAGCCTATCCTGGAACTCACTCTGTAGCCCAGGCTGGCCTTGAACTCATGGAGATTCACCTGGCTCTGCACCTGGCTCTGCCTCCGAGTGCTGGGATTAAAGGCGTGTGCCACCACCGCCCGGCTTTTTTTTTTTTTTTTTTTGAGACAGGATTTCTCTGTGTAGTTTTGGTGCCTGTCCTGGATCTCATTCTGTAAACCAGGCTGGCCTATGAACTCAGATATCCTCCTGCCTCTGCCTCCCGAGTGCTGGGATTAAAGGCGTGGGTCACCAACGCCCAGCCGATAAATACATTTTAAAATAAATAAATGGGTTTGAGGTGCAGAGGTTTGGTAGCACACCCCCTATAATCCTAGCCCAGAAGTCTGAAGCAGGAGGATTAGGAGTTTGTAGACAGTCTGGGTACATGAGTCTTTTCCAAAACAATAAAGATTTGTATAAGGTAAGATAAGTGATGATCATTTTTCTGTAATTCCGTTAAGCCATGTGAATGATTAAGATCTTGGAGAAAGACAGCAGAGAGATCAGAATTTCCAGGGTGAAGCTTGGAGAAACTTCACAGTTTATCATCCAAGAGAGGAGGTCATGATGGAGGCAGAGGTCAACCTGAAAAGGTAAGGGAAAATTAGGGGGACTGTTCTGGGGCTGGCATGACATAATAGGGAAATGCAGTTGGGAAATAATCGTCCAGAGACGGCTCACTTGGTACAGGTGCTTGCTGCCAAGTCTCAAGACTTGACTTTGATCTCTGGGACTCACATAGTGGGAAGAGAGAACTTACTCCTGAAAGTTGTCCTCTGACCTCCACAAGTACGCTAGTGTGAACATGCACACACACACATGTAAGCTGTGGTGTCAGGTGAGTGTACAAAAGTAGTTGAGGGGCCCCTCCCCCAGCTCTGAGCCCCACTTTTGCTAACAGGCAATCAAGGGACTGGTCTTTTTTAGGTGCTGACCTTGTCTTCACTGGGTATGATGGTACACACCTTTATTCCCAGCTCTAGTGAGGCAGAGGCAGGCAGTCTGGTATTCATAGTGAGAATGAGACCCTGTCTCAAACAAATGTAAAGAAAGAAATTGGAAACACACCAAAAAATGTCCATTTAGGATGACTTTTGGAGTCAGAATTAACGTGAAACGCAGAAAATACTGTTTGTAGAGATGACTGCCTCAGATAGGGAGGCCATACACAGTCCGATATTCGAACGTCACCTCATTGCGTCCTACAGGGCTGCTGGTGTGCGGGTGTTGGTGAGTGAGAGGGCATTTTTACTTCCATAGTTCCCCGCCTTATGCCCTCCCAACCTTGAACCTCACACTTAGGGAAAGCTGTCAACAAATGACTGAGCTGCATCCAGAGTGTCCCTCTCCCTACTTAGTGATTGATTTTTTTCTTTCTGAGAATCTCACTATGCATCCCCCTGGCCTTGAATTTACATCCCTCCTGCCTCAGCCTCTGGAACTTTATATAGGCATAGGCAGTGCCACCAACCCAGGCTTCTTACTCTCCTTGGTTCTACTTTACCCAAAGTTGTTATGTAGCCGGTGTTCTGCCTTCGTGTATGCCTGCAGGCCAGAAGAGGGCACCAGATCCCATTATAGATGGTTGTGAGCCACCATGTGGGTGCTGGGAATTGAACTCAGGACCTCTGGAAGAGCAGCCAGTGCTCTTACAGCTGAGCCGTCTCTCCAGCCCCTAGACCATTTATTTTTAATTATGTCTGGTGTGTGTGTGTGTGCATGTGAGTGCAGTGCGTGCAGACTGCAGAAGAGGGCGCTGGAGCTGGAGAGATGGCTCACTGGTTAAGAGCGCTAAACCCTGGACCTACATCACAGGTCACAACCATCTGTACTCCAGTTCTAGGGCACCAGGCAAGCCTTCTTTCTGGCCTTTGCAGGCATGGTAAACACACTATATACAGACATATGTAATAAATAAGCAAATGTTACCCCTCCTAAATGCTTTTCCCATGTAGACTTAAATTAGAAAGTCATTCCTAGCTTGGCGGTGCTGGCGCACGCCTTTAACCCCAGCAGTAGGGAGGCAGAGGCAGGCGGAACTCTGTGAGTTTGCAGGCCAGCCTGGTCTACAGAGTGAGATCCAGGACAGCCAGGGCTACACAGAGAAACCCTATCTCAAAAGACACACACACACAAATAGAATCTGTTCTTGAGCCCTACCCAGGGCTGAATTAGTTGGGTTTTTTCAGCCCTCTGCATGGGCACTTAAAGAACAAGAACTATCAGCCTTGTTTTGCTCCGTACAGATCTCACGCGCCAAGTTTTCCCAAACAAGCCAGGATTATTGAAGTCTCTCAGTTAGTCCCATTTTGAGGTCTCCCAAACAAAACAGTAGTGGGTACAAGCTGGGAACACCCGGTCGCACTTCCTGCGCTGGCCGCCAGGGGCCGCCCGGCTCTTTGTTTTCCTTTCTAGCCCGGGTCGCGGCCGGAGGCCCGCAGAGCGCATGCTCGGGGCAGTTCGCCGCTGGCCGCCGAGCGCCAGAGTTGCTTGCGGCCGCCCCGCACCGAGGTAGGTCGCGCTCCGGTTCGCGGGGAGCCCGGGGGGGGACGGGAAGCTGGGAGGTACGCGGGGCCGCGTCGGGCCGAGGTCGCCATCCGCGGGGCGTCGCGCGGGGCGGGCTGCACGTGAAGCGGGCGGCGCTGGGGGCGCACGAGCTTCGGCCCGCGTGGGCCCCGCCTCGCCCGCGCGCGCGGGCCGCGCAGCCCCCTTAGCCGCCGCGCTCCGGGCGCGCGCCCCGCCACGCGGCGGGAGATTCAAACGGCCGGGGACGCGCGCGTGGCCGCCGGCAGGGAGGGAGCGGCAGCGTCCACAGACGGTCGCCTGCCCTTCACCCCCATCAACCCTGTGTCACCCGGTCGGTTACTGCCTGGCGGTGCCGCTCCGGAGCCCGTGGGGGAACAATGGTGACCATGGCAGGCCTCCATGCCCGTTGCGGAGCGCAGGGGCTCCCTAGCGAGACTTGCGTGGTTCCACAGTTAGGGGCCCCTGGGATCAGCCGAGTATGCCCGTGGGACTCGAGCGTTGCTGCTGGCAAGTCTTTGGTTCACCAGAATTTATGTCCTCCGACCACGTGTGCCCTGGCAGAAGTTGAGGGTGTGCAACGCCCTGGGAACTCCAAAGCGGAAGCCTTAACCGGGCGGGGATAGTTTTCCAGGTGAGGTGACCCGATAGGGTTTTGATAGACTGGTAGAGGCCGACTTTGGGTGGTGAGGTTGTAGTGTGTTTTGGATCACAGGGTCAGGTTAATCCAGACATGGGGGCACAGCACTTGCAACCCCCAGAAGTGTTTGGGGTCACAGACATCAGTGGTTCTGTGGAGCTTCTGAGAAGGGTTGGAGTGGGCGTGGAGGACATAGAGAAAGAAGGCTGCCTCACCCAAGGGCGGCCTTCCTAGTGGAGCTTGGGAAGGTGAGTTAGAAGTGATTCACCAGGTTCGGGTTGCAGAGACAGCTCAGAACAGGAGTCTGGTCCTTAACCTGTAAAATGAAGGTAATGTGTTCCAAAGCCAGTGGCTCTAACATCTGCCAGAAGCCATGGCTCCTCTCTAGGGAAAAAGTGAACAGATAGTCCCAGGCGGTACCACATACTCACTGGACCTGGGTGAGGAACTTCCTGGTGTGAAATGTGCTAGCTCGGTTCCTAGCAGCCTGCACCGGCATCCCTTCTCTCCTGGTAGCTTGTCCCACGAAGACATTCTTCAGCTCCTGAGTCTAGCCCCTAATTTGAGTGTAGGCGCGGGAAGGAACTGCTGCCGGGGTTGCCAGATACTCCAGAAATTGGGATTGTGGTGAGGTCACAGGAGAGCACCCTGCTCCTGGTAGATTGTCTACCCATTTGACCTAGCAGGTGAGGAGACGGTCTTGGAGCAGCTCCAGCTTTGGTGGGGGTTGTCCCCTGGGGCTTCACCTCAGCCATGAATGGCCTGCACACCTGTCCCTGCCATGAGAACAGGTCTGAGCTCTTAGAGGGTCCTACACTGTAGGTGCTTATTAGTGGAAGGTGACTCCTTTCTGGTTTTCACTTCTGAGTCTTGCTCACTGTTCCAGTTTTTAGACTCCTTGAAGATGGATCCCGGGAGAGGAAGTGGGGATGCAAATGTGGTGGTAGGAGATAGGTCTTCTTGGGTTTGTTTTTTATGTGCATGAGTGATTTGCCTGTGTGTGTGTACCACAAGCATTCAGTGGCCCAAGGAGGCCAGAAGAGGGCATTGGATCCCCTGGGACTAGAGTTACTGTGGTTGTGAGCAGCTGGGAACCAAACCTGGGTCCTCTAGAAGAGCAGCCAGTGCTGAGCCACCTCTCTAGGCCTGGTTATTTGTTGGAACAGGTGTGTAGACCAGGCTGGCTTGAACTTGTGGACATCAGAAATCCTGCCTCTGCCCAGCACACCCAACTCACCCGCGTTGTAGAAGTTGCTGCCCTTTCCCCGCGTTGCTTCTGGATTTGCGCGTACTGCCAAGTGCCCATTAAAATTGGGGGTCCTCAGGACCTCTCCCCGCAGCTGTGGACTCAAGACCTGTTAGATGGAGCACCAGCCCTCTGAGGCAGGCCCAGCTGCCCTCCTCTCCCGCCCTTGGCTCTGCCTTCTGCTGCTTGAGTTTGGCCAAACTTATCAGGGATCCTGAGACACTTGCTCAGGCCATCTTAAACTCCTTCCCGGGTCATAGTGTGCCTTTAGCTGACATTTTTGGGGGGTGATGGTGAGACAGGGTCTTGCTAGGTAGCCTGGGTTGATCTTGTCAGCTTCCCAGGTTCTAGGATTATAGGTTTGTACTGCCACAAACAGCACAGTTTTTTTCCCCCTTTAAGAACGAAAAAGTCAAGGCTAGGTGGTGGTGCATGCCTTTAATCCCAGCACTCAGAAGGCAGAGGCAGGTGGATCTCTGAGTTTGAGGCCAGGCTGGTCTACAGAGTGAATTCTAGAACAGCCAGGGCTACACAGAGAAACCCTGTCTCAAAATTTTACATAGAAAAAAAAAAAATGTGCCTGGGTCCTTTTTCTGTCTCTCCTTTGCTGTATGAACATGGGTGAGTAAGTTTACCATTGTAAGCATCAGTTCCCTCAACCACGGGAGGGGTGATAATGTCTTCAACCTTTCTGAGTTGGGTTGAGTGTGTTGTGTGTGGTGTGCACGTGTTCATGTGAATGGGCATGAGGGCTGCATGTGCTCGTGGGGCAGAGGTTTGACACGGGCTTTCTAACTTGATTGTGTTCTTACTTTTGGAGACCGGGCATGTCACTGAAACTAGAGTTCCTCCATCAGGGTTCCCCGGGCTAGCCAGTGAGCTCCAGGGATCTGTATGCCCACCCCACCCTGACTTCCCTGCACTAGGATTGTAGGAGTGTGCTGCGCCTAGTGTCTTGGGATTGTGGGCTCTGAACTCAGGTTCATATGCATGCACAGCAGTCACTTTACTGACTGCATCTTCGAAGCCTCTTGATTTGTGTTTTGAGACAGGGTCTCACTAGCCTTGGCTGTCCTCAGCCTGGCTGTGTGGCTGAGGATGGCCTTTTCCTCACAAGTGCTAGGGTTACAGGCATTTGCCTCCATGCCTGACTTCAACTTGTTTTGAAAAGTAAAACTTTTTTGTACAGCAGAGATTCACGAGTCATTTTCTAGTGTCTTTGGAGGGAATGATGGGTTGGGTGGGAAGAGAGGGACAAGGGTGACTTTTGTAATGCTTTTACCCTCTTACTAGAATGGAAGCTCCCTGAGTACAGGAAGCAGGTCAGCCACCTCTGGCTTTGCCTCTTGGCTCCACCCCAAAGAGCAGTCATTTGCAGTGTGACGAGAGGGGTCTCAAAGAGGCAATAGGAAGGGAGGGGGTCCCCTTGCTGGGGGAATGGAAATTGTGCAGAGTTCAGAATGGCCACCTCATGACAAGCGTGGGCCAGCCACAGCCCACACAGGCTCTGCAGGATCCTGGGCCTGTTTAGATGCCTTCTGGTCTCCTCCCTCTGAGTCAGTCTAGCCTTGTGTCCATTCCTTCTGAGTGGACCCCTGGGAAGCCTGAGGCTTTTGGACCTTACTTACAGAAGGAGGCATGGGGGTGGTGCTGACCAGATCGCCAGCAGACAGTGAGAAGGGCCTTTCACTTCTGCTTGTTGCCTGGAGCAGAGTTTTCGTTCCTGTCAGGTGAAGGACCCGTGAGCTTGGTGAGCTTGCTTAGATTCCAGTAGGTTTGTGTCTCAGTGTTACCTGGGGAAGACCCTAAACGCCACCCCAGTACCCCACCACTGAGTAAGCATTTACTCTGGGACCATTTTTATTTACTTGTTATTATTATTTATTTATTACTGGGTTTCTGTTTGTTTCTTTTTAAAACTGAGTCTCTGGATAACACTGCCTGTCCTGGAGCTCACTATGTAGATAGACCAGGCTGACTAGTCCGCCTGCCTCTGCCTCCTAAGTGCTGGAATAAAGACCCATCACTCCCAGCTTGCTTGCTTTGTTTGTTTGGTCGGTTGTGTTTTCAAGACAAGGTTTCTCGGTGTAGCTTTGGTGCCTGTCCTGTAGACCAGGCTGGCCTTGAACTCACAGAGATCCACCTGCCTCTGCCTCCCGAGTGCTGGGATTAAAGGCGTTGTGCGACCACTGCCCAGTCCAGCTTTACTTTCATCTATTTATTTATTTTGGTTTTCAAGAAAGGGTTTTTCTGTGTCTGGCTGTCCTAGACCTCACTACGTAGACCACACCGGCCTCGGACGCAGACCTGCTTGCCTTTGCCTCCTGAGTGCTAGGACTAAAGGTGTGCACCCAGCCTAGCTTATTTTAATTGAAACTTTTTTTTCCTGTTACGGGGTGAAACCCAGAACCTCAGAAACACTAAAGGAGCATTCTGCCAATGAGCCACAGCCCAGCAGTGTGCAATCTATTCATCTAACCCTGCATGTCAGCCACTTGTGGAAGCACATGCCTGTGAATTCAGCTCAGGTGTGGGTAGGAAGGGGAGGGGCTCAAGGCCATCCTAAACTGCACTGGACCCTGTCTCAAAATAATAATAGTTAATAATAAGCTAAAGGGGGTGACAGCAGGCAGCTCTCAGACTGCTTAGTTTGGGTTTGGGGGTATGGGTTTTGTGTTGTGTGGTTTGTTGTTTTGCTTTGTTTGGAGATGAGGTCTCCCTGTGTAGCCCTAGCTGGCCTGGAATTTATTGTGTAGACTGGAGATCTGCCGGCCCCTGCCTCCTGAGTGCTGGGATTACCAGCGTGTGCCACTTGTTTTTGATGTTTGTGTGTGTGTGTGACTGGCTGGCCTGGAATTTGGGGTGCTACAGTGCTGGGGTCAGGAGTAGGCACCACACCTGGCTTCTGTCTGCTCTTCTTTATCACAAGGAACATCTTTCCAGTCAATAGATTTGTCTCTAAAAAATGTGGTTTTTGATGGCTTCATACCATTCCATCATGTATATTGTACATGTGTGACCAGTCCACTCCTCCTGACTCCACATTCCTAGTGCTGAGAGTACAGGGGTGAGCCACCAGGCCCGGTTAATGCAGTGCTGGGATTTGAACCTGGATCGGACTTGAAGCTTAGGCAGATTCTCACCAGGCTGAGGTATATCCCCAGTCTTTAGTCCACTACTATTACTCCAGTGGTTTGCTCGCTTTCCCCCACCAGTGTTAACAGCAGTAGAGAATATTTGTGAGCTTGGTCATTACATACACAGTTATCACACAGTTCTGGGGTATGTGCTGAGAGGTGTTAACTGCTGAGTGATTCCTCTTACATTTTAGGGTTTTTTTGTTTTGTTTTATTTTGATTTTCGAGACAGAGCTTCTCTGTGAAACAGTCCTGGCTGTCCTGGAACTCACTCTGTAGATCACGCTGGCCTCGGGAACTCACAGAGATCCACCTGCCTCTGCCTCCCAAGTACCGGGATTAAAGGCGTTGGGCCACCACCGTCTGGCACTTTTTAGGGTTTTTGATAAATACTGCACAGGAAGTTGTTTGTGATTCTGACATGTAGTATTTGGCTATTTTTTTTCAGGACAGGAAGATGCCACCCAAGCGCATAGCTAAGAGAAGGTCACCCCCCGAAGATGCCATCCCCAAAAGCAAGAAGGTGAAAGGTAAGCTGGCCTTGATCCCTTCCTGGTTCTGAGTGGTCTCAGAACCAACAGTGAGCTCTCTGGGCCCATGCTCCTTCCTCCCTGGCTTGAAGCTCTGAGGGCCTTAGATGTCCAGGACCCCTGCTCAGCGGAGGTTCTCTTGCATCTCACCTAGTCCAACCCTGTAGCAGTCAGAAGAGAGGCCTAGGCTGAGGCGATCAGAGAGCACTCTGAGCAGTGCTGTCAGAAAAAGACAAAACCCCAAGATGCTAGGACTTGGTCCAGGCAAATACGTTGTGATTTGGTCTGTCTAAAGTACTTTGACTCCTCCCCCTGATAATGGGAAAAGTCCTTGGCTTAGGTCCATTTGCTCTGACCTGACAGCTTGAAAGCCTGAGGCTCTTGGACCTGCTGGGCTTCAGAGGTGGGTTCGGGTCCTAGCTCTCCCACTTTCTCGTTGTAACCACAGGCATGTCACTTAATCTGGCTGAGGTTGAGTTTCCCTTGATAGAGTGGAGAGGAGAACTCCATCGACCTGTCTGAGTGGTTGGGGGTTAGATGAGATAATGTCCCAGCTTCATTTGAGGGACCTGTCCTGTAATTTTTCTCTCTCCTACAACCCCAGAGTGTGGCGAAGACGAGAGAAATTGACCCCTAGCATGGGAGGGAGGAGTGTAGCCGCATGCTCAGACAGTGTCTGTCTTTTGCAGACGCTCGTAACCGCGGTCCTGCCGCCCGCTCCTGCCAAGGTGCCTGTGGGCCAAACCCAACTGACCAGAAAACCCAACCAGATGGCTCCCTGCCTGGTGCAGCCTCTGTGCAGCCGCAGTGGCCCTGGCAGCTGAGGCCACACCCCTGGGGAAGGGACTGGATGCCATTGACTGGAGGGCTGTGGCAGGTTTCCATTGGCTGCCACAAGGCTTTGCACTACCTACTGGTTGGCCCACACCTCTCTGCAAATGCATCTGTGGGTTCTTACTGTACCTTCCTGTTCCTCTGAAGCTGTCAGTGTGCTGCCCATGCTGGCCGAAGGGGTGGGGTGGTCTGTTTTCCTCCTGTATCAGGGTCTGGGGGTGGAGGGACATTCAGATGGAGGCCATAAATACTCTAACCCAGGAAGTCTTCCTGAGTCCAGTGCAAACACCGCTAATTAGCTCTATGAGCCTGGGCAGGTGTTTGACCCTAGGGGAGGCTCTGTTCCGTGTCCTGTAAAACAGTGTCTTCTGTTTTTGATGTTTGTTTGAGATAGAATAGCCCTGGCTGTCCTGGAACTTGCTGTGTTACCCAGGCTGGCCTTGAACTCCCAGAGATCTGCTTGCCTCTGCCTCCAAGGGACGGGATTAAAGGCTTACACCACCAGGCCTGGCAAAGGGTCTTTTTTTTTTTTCTGAGACAGGGTTTCTCTGTAGCTTTGGAGCCTGTCCTGGACTAGCTCTGTAGCCCAGGCTGGCCTCGAACTCACAGAGATCCACCTGCCTCTGCCTCCTGAGTGCTGGGATTACAGGTGTACGCCACCACCGCCCGGCTCAGGGTCTTCTAAATTTGGGAGGTCTGCAGAGCCAGCTAGTGTTGGTAGAGTAAACAGTCAGTGAAAGGTTGGCACTGTGGATCCACATCTGTGACATGGGCTCATGGGAAACTACCTTGTACCCTCCCTGCCCTCGTGCCCTGCCCACCGACATCCATCTCACTGTGCAGTGTCTCCTCTTTGTCTTTTCACCTCATGTCAATAATGTGCTGGGGTTTCAATCCTCCTGAAACCCCCTGAGACAGATACCCTTGTCATCCTCTCTTCACAGATGAGGACACGTAGGCCCACAGAGGTCTTATCTATAGCCTGTTGGCAGAGCAAGGGCTTGAACCCCAGGTCATCACGATCCCAGAGCCCATGCCATGACCTCTGCTGCCCTCCTCCTGCACACTCAGGGGCTGTCTTCTCCACCCTTCAGTCTCACACAGGTCCCACAACACAGAGCCAGGTTTGGTGCTGACACTGGGCCAGGGCGACGTGGGCCAGCTGGGGCTGGGCGAGAGTGTGCTGGAGAGGAAGAAGCCAGCCTTGGTGCCCCTTCTACAAGATGTTGTGCAGGCTGAGGCCGGGGGCATGCATACCGTGTGTCTGAGCCGAAGTGGCCAGGTAGGTCACAGGGTTGGGACAGGTTGGATGGAGCCTGGGTGCAAGGGTGTGTGACAAGGAGTGGCCTAAATGAGTAGGTCACAGAACCAGACTCTATGTTAATGGGACACCCTGGGCACAGGTCTACTCCTTCGGATGCAATGATGAGGGTGCCCTGGGAAGGGACACGTCGGTCGAGGGCTCAGAGATGGTCCCTGGGAAAGTGGAACTGCAAGAGAAGGTGGTCCAAGTGTCAGCAGGGGACAGTCACACAGCAGCCCTTACCGAAGATGGCCGTGTCTTCCTCTGGGGCTCTTTCCGGGTAAGACTGGGTCTGGAAAGTTGTGTGGGGACTGGCCAGCAAAAGTAACTCAGGATACCCAAATGATCCACTTTCCTGTCCCCATTATGCTTGCTTACTGGTGGGAATGGAAGGTAAGGACCACATACGTAGGTGGGGCCCAGATTTAAATTCTTGGTATCTTATCTGGGACTATCCACACCACTGGCTACTTGCTTGACTATGATGAAATATTTGTATTTGGGAAGGGGTATGTAGCTAGAGTTTTCCTGCCTGGCCCACAGTCAGGACAAATCTTTGTCACCCGCCAGTCCCACAGCCGCTTAGACCTGACCAAGTAAACACAGAGACTTATATTGGTTACAAACTGTATGGCCGTGGCAGGCTTCTTGCTAACTGTTCTTACAGCTTAAATTAATCCATTTCCATTAATCTATACCTTGCCACGTGGCTCGTGGCTTACCGGCATCTTCACATGCTGTTTGTCATCATGGCGGCTGGCAGTGTCTCTCTGACTCAGCCTTCCACTTCCCAGCTTTATTCTCCTCCTTGTCCCGCCTATACTTCCTGCCTGGCCACTGGCCAATCAGTGATTTATTTATTGACCAATCAGCAACACATTTGACATACAGACCATCCCACAGTAGGAGTAGGTCACGGATGCCTATGAGCTGCAGCTGATCTTGGAAGCTGTTGTGTCTTTTCATCCCTTTCTCATTCTCAACCCTGTTCTAGAGGCTTTGTGTGAAAGATTTGTGGGGATGGAGAGTATCACATGGTTGTTCTAAGGCAGGGGAGTGTAGTCTTTGTTTTTTTTGTGGGTTCTTTTTCCTAAGACAAGTGAGGTCTCATGTATCTCAGGTTAGCCCCATACTGACTATGTAGCTGAGGATGACTTTGAACTTCTGATCCTCCTGCCCCCATCTCCTGGGTTCTGGAATTAGGGGGATCAAGCCCAGGACTTTGTGTATGTCAAGGGAGCTACAATCCAGCACAGGAAATGTGGTTTCAGTATTGTGGCTGGAAAGATGCCTCGGGGGTTAAGACTATGTCCTTCTCTTGCGAGGACTTGGGTTCAATTTCCAATACCCACATAGCAACTCATAGCTGTCTGTAACTCAGGTTCCAGGAGATCCAGTGACTTCTAGCCCTTTTGGGCACCAGGTACACATGGTGCATAGACATATATGCTTGCAAAACACCCATACATGTTAAAAGTAAATTTAAAAACAAAATGGAATCTCATGAGTATTTCCTTATTAAGACTATTGTAAAAACAGTTATTCAATTATTTACTTTTTTTTTTTTTTTTTTTTTTTTTTTTTTTTTTTAAAGATTTATTTATTTATTAGGTATGCAGTGTTCTGCCTGCATGTATGTCTGCAGGCCAGAAGAGGGCACCAGATCTCATTACAGATGGTTGTGAGCCACCATGTGGTTGCTGGGAATTGAACTCAGGACCTCTGGAAGAGCAGCCAGTGTTCTTAACCTCTGAGCCATCTCTCCAGCCCCCAATTATTTACTTTTTGTTGTTGTTGTTTTGTTTTGTTTTTCAAGACAGGGCTTGTCTATATAGCTTTGCACCTTTCCTGGAACTCGCTTTGTAGACCTAGGCTAGAACTCACAGAGATCCGCCTGCCTCTGCCTCCTAAGTGCTGGGATTAAAGGCATGCACCACCACTGCCCGACTTATTTACTTATTTTTTTGAGGCAGCATCTCTATGTAGTTCTGGCTGTCCTGGAGCTTGCTTTGTAGACCAAGCTGGCCTTGAACTCATAGAAACCTCCTGCCTCTAGGATTAAAACTGTCTGCTATCATGCCAGGCTCTCATTTGTTTATTTTTTTGAGACAGGGTCTTGATGTGTATCCCGACTGGATTGGAACTCACTATGTAAACGAGACTGACCTCAAACTCAGAGATCTTATTTTACATAGGGTAGTGCTAGGATTAAAGGAGTTTGCTAGCATGCCCTGTACTTTTTTTTTTTCTTTCTTTCTTTTTCTTTGAGACAGGGTTTCTCTGTGTAGTCCTGGCTGTCCTAGAACTCCCTCTGTAGACCAGGCTGGCCTCAAACTCACAGGGATCCGCCTGCCTCTGCCTCCTCTAAGTGCTGGGATTAAAGGTGTGCTTACCACTGCTTGGTTTGTTGTGAACATTTTTTTTTTTTTTTTTAAAGATTTATTTATTATGTATACAGCATGTGTGCCTGCAGGCCAGAAGAGGGCACCAGATCTCGTTACAGATGGTTGTGGGCCACCATGTGGTTGCTGGGGATTGAACTCAGGACCTCTGGAAGAGCAGTCAGTGCTCTTAACCTCTGAGCCATCTCTCCAGCCCTTGTTGTGAACATTTTTATGGAGAACTTTTTAACACAGACATGCTCAGAATAACGTATTGCACCTCTGTCTTCTTGCCATGCTGCTTCAGCAATGAATTGACTTTAAGCCGGATTTGTTTACCTCCACTCACATCTTTAACCTGGCTTACTTTATTTGACACAGTTCCCAGACTCTGGATGTTGTCGTTCCTCAGTATATCCCTATGTGGCCAGGGCCCTGCCTGTCACACTGTCTATATCTGCTACTGCCCACTGCCCTTCACCAGGCAACTGTCATGGCCCCAGCAAGCTGGGCTTGGCTGTTACAGAACAGCAGGACTGACTGCTTAAGTGTCTGCCTCTCCTTTCTAGGACAATAATGGTGTGATCGGGTTGTTGGAACCCATGAAGAAAAGCATGGTGCCCGTTCAAGTGCAGCTGGACATGCCCGTGGTAAAGGTGGCCTCAGGTGAGTGTTAGGCACACTGTGAACAGGAGCTGTGACAGCTCAGCCTTGGGTCTTCCACATAAGCTCTTCATCCCCTGCCTTCCTCTCATCTTCAGGGAACGACCACTTGGTGATGCTGACGACTGATGGAGACCTCTACACCTTGGGTTGTGGGGAGCAGGGTCAGCTGGGCCGTGTGCCTGAATTATTTGCCAACCGTGGTGGCCGTCAGGGCCTTGGTAAGTGGCTTTGGTACCTCCAGTGGGATGATTTCGTAAGCTAGTCCCTGGCCAAAGTAAAAGGCAGGAGGGATTTGTTGAGGTGTAGATCCAATGCACTTGCAGTGTTCATTAGGAACTCAGACTGGCCGGTGGTGGCTTACGCCTTTAATCCCAGCACTTGAGAGGCAGAGGTAGACAGACCTCTGAGTTCGAGGCCAGCCTGGACTACAGAGCGAGTTCCAGGAGAGCCAGGGCTACACAGAGAAGCCCTGTCTCAGAAAACAGACAAACAAACCCTCAGGCTTTAAGCTGGGCGTGGTGGCAGACACCTTCAGTCCTAGCACTCAGGAGTTTGAGGCCAGCCAGTAAATAATGGGACCCTCTCAAAAAAGGGGGGCGAACCCTCAGACTTTGGAGGCTGAGTCCTCCTCTCTAACCCCCCCTCTACCCCTTTTGGTTACTGTGAGGAGAGAAATGACTTAATCAGAAAATGCCTGGCGCTTAAGTTCCACTGAAGCTTTTCTTCTCTTGACTGTTAAAAGTTGGAGCGGCGTTTGAATGCCACTGGCCTGAGCTACCTCTTCTGTAACAAGGATGACTCTGCTTAGCCTCCTTCAGGGACTTTTGTGGAAGAGAAAAGGCCCTGTGTCTGTCACTGACCCTGGCGGCTTCTTTCCTTACAGAGCGACTCCTGGTCCCCAAGTGTGTGCTGCTGAAATCGAGGGGAAGCCGGGGCCGCGTGCGGTTCCAGGATGCCTTCTGTGGGGCCTATTTCACTTTTGCCATCTCCCGGGAGGGCCATGTCTATGGCTTTGGTCTCTCCAACTATCACCAGCTTGGTGAGTACCGATCCTAGCATCATGTTGGACTCGATGGCCCTGACTCCAATCAAGCTTTCAGTCTTTGTTTTTGCTTTGTGTGGTACCTGACCCCTCAGAGCTATGATGTAAGGTGGCTTTTCTGGGGATGGGTGGGGACAGCCTTTCTGGGGACAGCAGTGAGAATGGAAGCTTCTGGAACACCTTACTCTTGACAACAGGAACTCCAGGCACTGGATCTTGCTTCATTCCTCAGAACTTGACATCCTTCAAGAATTCCACCAAGTCCTGGGTGGGCTTCTCTGGTGGCCAGCACCATACAATCTGCATGGATTCAGAAGGTAGGACACCCAAGTCCTTCTACATAGGAGACAGTAGTCCTTGATACAGCCAGGTCCCCAGGATTATGGTTTGGGCCAGACATAGATTGCATTCGTGAGGTTGTCCTGAATGCCCTGGGGGTTGTATAGAGCGTCTTCTAGCTCCCACCCCCAGGCTCTGAGACCTCACCACCTGAGAGTAGTGCTGACCCTCAAGGACATGGGGATTCACTTGGTATACAGTCTGTTTTACTTAGACTCTGCCCCTGCTGATACTCACCTCTCCTTATCCCACAGGAAAAGCATACAGCCTGGGCAGGGCTGAGTATGGGCGGCTGGGCCTTGGAGAGGGTGCTGAGGAGAAGAGCATACCCACCCTCATTTCCCGGCTGCCCATCGTCTCCTCAGTGGCCTGTGGGGCCTCTGTGGGGTATGCTGTGTCCAAGGATGGTAAGTAGGGCTCCTTGGACCTGGTGTTGTTGGAGCCTGGGGAGCATGATTCCTAGCACATTCTTTAGGTTGTATTGGAGATGACACTGTTTTGTCATTGACTCTCAAAAGCCCTGGGGTGTTTTTGCTGTTGTTTTGTTTTGTTTTTGAGACAGGGGTCTCACCATGTAGACCAGGCAGGCCTGGAACTCATAGAGATCCACCTCCCCCTGCCTCTGCCTTCTGAGTGTTGGAATCACAAACATGTGCCATCATGCTGGGCTCAAGAATATAACTGAGTCTTTTTCTGTCCTGCCAGCCAGCTCCCAAATAATGACACAGAGACTTCTTATTAATTATGAAAGCTTGGCCTATAGGTTCTTCCTCCTCTTCCTTTCTCTCCCCAGAAATCCCCCCTAATCTTCCTGTCTAGCTATTGGCCATTCAGCTTTTTATCACACTAATCACAGCAATACACCTTCATACACAGTGTGCATATATCCTACAACACAAGAATACTTTTTTTTGTTTATGTTGTATTGTCTGCATGTATGTGTATGTACTGTGTATGTGCTTGGTGCCTGCAGAGGCCAGGAGAGGGCATAAGATCCCCTGGGACTGAAGTTACTGTCGGTTGTGAGCTGCCATGTGGGTCCTGGCTAGTCCAGCAGAAGAGGATGTGGACACATAGCAGCCAAAGCCTGAGAAAGAGGTGCACAGCCAGGGGTCCTGGAGAACTGAGGCTGGAGAGGTGTTTGTGCTTACCTGGGAGGACGTCCTCACGATGTGGGGTTTGCACTGCAGCGTGGAAACAGTGTCCTTTGTGAAAACAGTGGACAGACCAGGTGTTGTGGCACACACTTTTAGACCCAGTACTCAGGAGGCCGAGGCAAGCACATCTCTGAGAGTTTGAAGCCAGCCGGGGCTACATAGACCTTATCTTTAAAAAAAAAAAAAAAATTAAAAAGACCACCAGAGGGTGGCATATCAAACCCAGGAGCATCCTAAATAGTCTGAAAGGTGACTGGTTCCAAGAACAGGGATTTAGGATGTAGCCCCTCCCCACCCCCCATACAACAATGCTATGTGTTGTACCCTGGAGTAGGAAGAATGCAGTAGAGAACACAGTCTCCTCGGCTCTTCCAAACTCCCTTGAACTCCTGGGCTGGGACCTTGCCAGACTGCTATTGGTCAAGGCCAAAATTGACCCCCATGTCCCAGGTGTCTCCTGGTATGGCAAGGCAGGCCTGAAGACTCCAAAGACAGCTACCTCTTTTCCTGTCCCTTCTAGGTCGTGTCTTTGCCTGGGGCATGGGCACCAACTACCAGCTGGGCACAGGGCAGGATGAAGATGCCTGGAGCCCTGTGGAAATGACTGGCAAACAGCTGGAGAACCGAGTGGTCTTAACTGTGTCCAGCGGGGGCCAGCACACAGTCCTATTAGTCAAGGACAAGGAACAGAGCTGATGAAGTCTATGTGGGCCTGGCTTCTGGCCCCCAACCAGCTTCCTAGAACAGAAAAACAGCCAACTACAGATTCCAGAAGGCCCTTCCCCACCCGAGCAGCTATCATCTCCTTTCCCATCACCACAGCAGAATCCTTTCCTTCTGTTTTGTCCTCTTTTCTGGTCATCCTGGGACTTGCAGGATGAGGGGGGATGGGAAGGCGTCTCGGAAGGAGCTTTGCTTACCTTAGACTCAGTCGTTAGACCTTTCCCTTGACTGCCCTGCCTCCTGTGATCCGAGCAGGCCCTGGCCCTTGCCTACAAAACCCAAAACTTCCTGCCCTGGGGTTTTGGTACCTACACTCTGAAAAGTTGGGAACTCCATCAGGCCCCCCTTCCCATGTGCCACTTTTTCTGTTCCTAACATTAGTTTACAAGGAGACAGACGGTATAGTCATCAGATCCAGTTGTCGTGGACCCATGCCTGGGGAGAACTGGACAAAGGCTTTACAAGGCTGTGGGTGACCCTAAGCCAAATATTTGGCTCTAAACAGGTGTCCATGGGGGAAAACAATGACCCACTGGAAAAAAATCCAACTAGCTCTCCCCATAAGCACAAAGCACCCCACTGTCTCCTGGGCATCACCTGTGCATTCCCAATCTGGTCAGCCTTTCTGCCACTGAGGACTGGGAAGCCATGCTGGGCTCTGCTGGGCAGTCAAGGCAGGGTATTGGGAAAGGGAGGGTAGAGGAAAGGGCTTGGGAGGGGCAGAGGCTGGTCCTAAAAGAAGAAAGTAACAGTGGCTGAGAAAATAGTTTTAATTATAAAATATTTTGGAAGGAAGAGTGAAATCTTTTAACACTTTGAATAAATTTAGAGTTTTATAAAAATGGGCTTTGTTTTGTGCAGTTCCCTGGAGTTGTGTTGTTGATTTTAAAGGAGCACCTGCTGTGTGCCACACCTGCCGTGTGCCAGGCATTCAGAGGGCAGGGTAAACATGCCTGGGAGCCTGTGGTCAGGGCTGTGGCCAACACGGCTGCTCCAAACTCTGGACAAGACAAGAGGTGCTTGGGTAGTTGTGCAGTAGGAACCACTGCAGTTTCTTCGTGATCATGATGCACAAGAGGTGGTTAGATTCTTTTTTTTAGTGGGCTCTCAGTGTAGCTCAGGCTGACCTACTGAACCTCATGCCTTAACCTCCTGAGGGCTGAGATTACAGGCCTGGCTTTGGGATGGAATTTTTAAATCCCAAACCAAGGTTTTTTGTTTAGATTTTGGCCAGATCTTACTGTGTGTCCCTGGTTGGTCTGGAACTCAATATGTAAAACAGGCTAGCCTTAAACTCACAAAGATCTATCTGCCTCTGCTTCCAGCATTTTTGGATTAAAGTCCAGCAGCCACCACACCTGGCCCAAATTCCTTCTGTGTAACAGCTCTGGCTGTCCTGAAACTGTTTATAGACCAGCCTGGCTTCGAACTCACGGAGATCCTCCTGCATTTTCGATAACTGGTGTGTTTGCTTAAAACTTACCTTGAATGCTCTGTGGTAAGATTATTCCTGGGAAGATGCTATGCACATATGTGTCTACTCACCAAAAGCAGGGAGCCTAGAATAGACTAAATTATGGATACCGCCAAAATCCAACTTGAACCAATGATTTTTTTTTTTTTTTTTTTTTTTTTTTTTTTTTTTTTTTGGTTTTTTTTTTTTTTTTTTTCGAGACAGGGTTTCTCTGTGTAGCTTTGCGCCTTTCCTGGAACTCGCTTTGGAGACCAGGCTGGCCTCGAACTCACAGAGATCCGCCTGGCTCTGCCTCCCGAGTGCTGGGATTAAAGGCGTGCGCCACCACCGCCCGGCCTGAACCAATGATTTTTATTTGGGTTAGTTACAGAAGCAGAAATACAGCTTCATCAAAGTCTACCCTAGCTAGCATGGGTGACAGCTCACAAAAGCTGGGAATCTGGAGCTCACTGCACAGTCTGCAGGCAGCTTAAAAGGTTGAACAGTGTCCTTTCCAGCTGACCCTGGTCTAAATTTCCAAGCAGCTCAGCTGGTCTGTACTCAGTCTGCAGCCTTGAGTCTTCCCCTTACAGGGCAGTCTCTCAGTCTGAGGAGGGCTCACAACTTTTATTTTTTACTCTGACAGGGAGGGGCCTAGAAATCTCAGTTTCAGGAACTTTCTGAGGCTGTTTTGAGTTGTTCAGCCTCTTAAAGAGTCTTCCCTGTGGGTTAGAATGTTTCAACCTGAGGAATTGTGAGTGGAGGTGGGGTTAGGGGGAGGTATAACTGATGGATTGGAGTGTTGTGGAATATATAACGGGGCAAAGATGTGTTTGGTACATTGGTTTATGATGCATTTGTTTAACTATGTAAAGATGTGTTGCATTTGTGTTAATAAAATTAATCTGAGCTCAGAGACAACTAGTTGACAGGATGTAGCAGGGGGGAGTGCAGAGAGGGTTGTTGGTTTTTTTTTTTTTTTGGTTTTTTTGAGACAGGGTTTCTCTAGTTTTGGTGTCTGTCCTGTATCTCACTCTGTAGACCAGGCTGGCCTGAACTCACAGAGATCCGCCTGCCTCTGCCTCCCAAGTGCTGGGATTAAAGTCATGCGCCACCACCGCCTGGCGGGTTTTTTTTTTTTTTTTCTGTTTGTTTCTTTGTTTATTGTTTTCCGAGACATGGTTTTTCTGTATCCTTGGCTATCCTGGAACTCACTTTGTAGACCAGGCTGGCCTTGAACTCACAGGGAGCTTACTGCCTCTGCCTCCCAAGTGTTGGGATTAACCACCACCTGGCACTTGTGGTTTTTAGTTGGGGCAGTGTGAAAGGAGAGAGGCTTCTGGGACTTAGGTAAAGAGAGAAAGTCAGTTGCTACTCTTAATTCTCTTAGCTCCCCGGTTTTTACTCCAGCCTTTAAATCTCAAGTTTTTTGTTTTTTTTTTTTGGTTTTTCGAGACAAGGTTTCTCTGTGTAGCTTTGTGCCTTTTCCTGGAACTCACTTGGTAGCCCAGGCTGGCCTTGAACTCACAGAGATCCTCCTGGCTCTGCCTCCCGAGTGCTGGGATTAAAGGCGTGCGCCACCACCGCCCGGCTAAGTTTTATTAGAACAATAGAGACTTAGTTAAAGCTACCTTTAAGGGCAGCAACAGAGCCCTTGTCTGGGGGAACAGAATTCCCCCCAGGCTATGACCTGAGCAACTGGGCAGCTAGTAGTTTAAAGTGCAGCCAATGTAATGAAGGTCAAACATCATTTGGGCATCCAAAATGGGGTGCCAAAAGTAACAGACTTTCTCGGACCACCAGCCTCCAAATCATTACATGGAGATGTACTATTAGTTATGAATGCTTTGTCTTGTCTTATGTTTGTCCCACTAGCTCTTATATCTTAATTTAACCTGTTTCTATTCATCTATGTTTTGCCTCAGGGCTTTTTACCTTTCTTTCATCCTGTATGTTCTATTTTTCCTGCTTCTTCCATGTCTAGTTTGCTGATGGATGTCTGGCTGGCCCTGGGCTCCTTTTCTCCCTCTTTATCTCTTCTCTTGCTCATTCATTCTCTCTCTCTCTCTCTCTCTCTCTCTCTCTCTCTCTCTCTCTCTCTCTCTCTCCTAGATTCCTCCTCCTATTCTCTGTCCACCAGCCCTGTCTATCCCACTACTGCCTAGCTATTGGCCCTTCAGTTTTTTACTAGACCAATCAGGTGCCTTAGGCACTTTTACATAGTTAAAGTAATATTCCACAATGCTGGCTTAGTGATTCAGAGCACTGGCCACTCTTGCAGAAGACATTGGTTCAATTCTCGTCACCCACATGGTGCCACACAACCATCTGTAACTCCAGTCCCATGGGATCTAGTGCCCTCTCTGGCCTCTGGAAAACTTTTTACATTTGTGTGTGTGTGTGCATACTCAGAAGTCCTCAAGCTTGGTGGCATGAACCTTTACCTACTGAACCATCTCAACAGATCCTTAACACTATTCATACAGTAATAGTAGGGAACATGAAATTTGGAGACTCATAGTTGGCCTGTTTTCAGACTTGAATTCTTGGCTTGGGGATGGAAAGCCATTTAGGGCTCCTTTAGGCACTTGGCTTCATTGTCACCGGAGCTTCCCACTTTTTTTTTTGTTTTTCGAGACAGGATTTGTCTGTGTAGCCCTGGCTGTCCTGGAACTTACTCTGTAGACCAGGTTGCCCTAAAACTCAGAAAGATCCACCCACTTGCCTCTGCCTCCCAAGTCTGGGATTGAAGGTGTGCGCCACCACCTGAACTGAGTACCAACCTGATGTTGAAGCCTGGGATAAGCCTACCTTAGTAGCTCTCAAAACCCAAATTTACTTAGAATTTTCTTTGGGTAGGTTTGTGCTCAGAGGTAAAGCCTTGGTGTGATGAAGTGGAAAGTGGGAGGGGCCAGGAGTGGTGTCTCTCACTTGTAAACTTAGCACTTGGGAGACTGAAGCAGGACCACTGCCAAAAGTTTGCAGCCAGCCTAGATTATATAGTGTGTAACAGGACGGCTTGAGCAAGATAATGAGACCTTGACTCAAGGAAAATAAATAAAAATTAAAGCGTGGAGCCAGAGACATGGCTTAGGCGTTAAAGAGAAGGAATGCTTTTTCAGAGGACTGGAGTGCATAAAAACAGGCAGAAGCAGGTATGTCTCTGTGACTAGGCACGTAGGGACCAGCGGGGGCTACATAGAGACCGTGCCCCGCTCTCCTCCCCCTCAAAATGATGGGTGAGAGGGCTTTGATTAGATTATCAAGAGAACTAACTGTCCCTTACCCCTCTCCGCCATAGGGCTTTATGAGAATGAAGAACCTCATTCCATCTCCAAAAGAGCCCTAGCGTTTTTTGGAGCTGGAATGCAGCGCAAGAGGACAGCTGTGCGCGCCGCGGCTCGTCCAAGCTCCCCGAGGCGTTCCGTCACGAATTTACCTTCGTGCTTATGCTTGCAATTCCCTCCAGAGAGCGAACCTTCCCTCTCTTAATTATAGAAGTATTTACATGGTTTTATTAAATAGCGGAGTAGCCCAGCCTACGTGCTTTCTTTCAGAGCCGACGCCAACCACCCTTCTTGCGCTCGACTCGAAGCCACGCCCCTCCGCGTCGAGGCCACGCCCCCTAGGAGCCGGAAGCGGCTGACAGAGCCGAGGAAAGCCCGGATCGGCGCGTCTGGCCGCCGCGACTGCGTGTGCGCGGGAGGTGTCGCCGGCGCGGACTCCGGCCGTCTCCGCTGCGCAGGCGGGCGCGGGCGCGCGCCGCGGGCCCGCACGGTCCCCACCGCCCGGGTGTGGGATGGCGGCCAGCCTGTGGATGGGGGACGTGAGTGAGGGCCGCCCCAGCTCTGAGGAGGACCGAGGGGAGGGCGGGCCTGAGGGCGGCGGTGACACCAGCCAGGCCGGCAGTGTTGGCGCACGCACGCCGTAGTCCCTGCACTTGCGAGGCAGACTTGTAGTTTGGCCTTCATAGCGGGGCCCTTTCTCACTCCGGCCCTAATAGGGGAGGGAGGCTGGGCGTCCTGAGGAAGATTCACCGGATGCAGAATCCACGGGTTACAGGTTCTGGGGTCCCCCCTTCCCAGTATGGGAATGAAGAGGAGATTTGGGGGGTGGAATGGGAGGAGCACCAAGAATTGAGGGGCCCTTTGTTTCTAGGGCCGGAGGCAGGGGAGTTCCATAAAGAGGAGCGTTTTTGTTATTTTTGTTGTGAGATGGGGGTCTCACATAGTCCTGACTGTTCTGGAACTCACCATGAGACCCGCCTGCCACTAGCTCCCCAGTGCTGGGACTGAAGACCTGTTCCACACCGCCCAGCAAGGGGAGCGATTTGAAGTGGGGGAGTAGGTTGGAACCATGCGCCCTTCTGTGCAGTGGAGAGTGGGGCTCCCGGAACTGAGGTCTGCTGTGGTTTTTATGCAGCTGGAGCCCTACATGGATGAGAACTTCATCTCAAGAGCCTTTGCCACCATGGGGGAGACTGTGATGAGCGTCAAAATTATCCGAAACCGTCTCACTGGGTACATCTCCCTCTTCATCTTTCCAGTTCTCACTCACCAGAGCCTGCTGTTGCTGCCCTTCAAGGGAATAAACATCACACGAAATCAGGGCTTCTCACCTGGGAGTAGCAGCAGTCGTCACACAGTATTATAAAAAGGAACATGGGCTTTCTGGGTGGGCGCTTACTGAGCGGAAGCACCGAGTGTTTCAGGTTTCAGTATCCCAGTGTTTCAGGCAGGGTGCTGGAACCTGTGTTTTAAAACTGTATTGTGTGATCTTTGTTAAAGCACTTGTGTGTTTCATTTATCTTTATCTTATTTTGAAACAGGGTCTCGATGTAGTACCATACGTAGGCCGGCCTCCAACTTGTGACAATCCTGCCTCTGCCTCCCAGGTGCATACCAATCACAGGTGTGCCAGCAATCCTGGCTCTTTGTTTAAAGATTTATTATTTTTGATTACGTGTGTGTTTTATGTGGGGATAAGGATGTGCAGGTGCCCGTGGAGGCCAGAGGTGTCAGAGCCTGTAAAGTGGCCTACATGGTTGCTGAGCATCAATCTGAGGCCCCTTGGGAGAGCAATTCAGAACCTTTTTTTTTTTTTTTTTGAGCCAGGGTTTCTCTGTGTAGCCCTGGCTGTCCT